GCGGCCCCCGCCTGGCCCCACTACAGGGGGAGCCCGGGGAAACCCCCAGCCGCTCCCTGCCTCGTGGCCAAGGCCCTGTGCTATTAGGCAGGGCCCGTGGGTTTGACTCTACACAAGGCCAGCGCCCTCTGGGCCCGGCTTTCACTCTTGCTTTCCCCAGCAGTGCTTGCCCAGCCGCTGCAGGCCAAGGGCCATCATATTTGCTATGTGGGAGAGGACTTGTTCCAGCCACCCATGCTCGAGCCCGGAAACGGGGTCCTGTGAGGTCCTGCCACCACGGGGTCCAGTCAGTGCCCGGGTGGGAGAGCAGGGCAGGGGCACCTCATGTCGGGCAGGGAGCTCCTCCAGCTGACACCAGCAAGCCCTGCCTGTTCCCCGGGGCAAGCACCCCTGGAGCCGGCAGGTCTGCAGTGCAGCAGGTCCCAGGGATCCCCCCCCACCCCTCAGAGGGAGGTCCTGGCTCCCTGCAGGAGTCCCGGGCTCTCGGGGACAGACCGAAGGCAGGGGCAAGGCTTCTTAGGGGAGGAGGGACCATGCCCAGGACAGCAGGCTCCTGCCTCAGACGGGGCTGGAGGAGGGGGTGCTGCAGGTGGGTCTGCCTCCAGCCCGCGCCAGGGGCCCTGCCAGGAGGGCAGAGGAGCTCGTGTGCAGTCCTGGGGGGGAGCACCGGACCCTTGTGCTCAGTGGCCCCCACAGCCGGAGCAAGGCTCTGCCCCCAACACAGGGCAGAGGAGGGCATCCCACATCGGGGGCCGCTGGCCCACCCCTTGTGCAGTTCCTGTGCGCCTTCGCATGGCAGAAGCTCGTTGGGGCGGTGAGTGGCCTCCTGGGCACAGTGCTGTGACCGCTGTACCAGGCAAGCTGCCCTGGGGTGCTGCTCCAGGTTTTGTCTGGTGGCTGCCCAGCTCATGGCCCTTTGCCTTTTGGGGCCCAAAGGTAGCTCCACAGTTCGACCTTGGTCTGAGCCAGGCCCCAAGGTAGGTATTTGGGCAGGCGGCCTTCCCTGGGTCCCCGCATATCCATGGTCTGCAAGACATGGCTGTCCAGCTCTCCGGGGGCAGCCCAAGGCCACTGCTGCCCCTCAGCCCCAGGTCTCCCCAAGAGCTGGGGGACCGGGGCATGGTGCTGCGAAGCGCAGGCTGGGGGTCTGGATTCCTTTGTGGCTGGAGGCCTCTGAACTTGGTGGGGGTGAGCAATAAGAAAGAGGGAAAGACTAGAGACTGAAGAAAATAAAAATGAATGAGAATGAAAATGAAATAAATGAAAAATGAAAAAGAAATAAAAACGATTTTTTTTTAATTATATAATGGGACTGATCAAATGGGTTTGGCTCCCCTGAACTCAGCAGCCCCTCAGGGATTACAGGGGTAGAGCTGGCTGAAAGCATTAAACAGGCAAGAGGGGCATGACCACAGCTGGACTCAAGGGACTTACAAAAACCTGGAGGCAACTGGGGATCCACACAGTCCTTCTCCTTCTTGCAACGGTGACAATGCAGCAAAGCACCTGCCATTAGAAATAGCAAGACTTGTACTAAAGGCGTTCAGAAAAGAAGGTCTGAAACACCTGAACTAAAAAAACACCAAGTAGCTCATGAGTCTCCAGAGCATTTTATTTTTATTGGGACCATTTTTTCTTTTGAGACAATGGACAGCTGAACTTCCAACAGATTATACCGAAGCATCACAACTTCACTGGACCTTTTTTTTCAGTTCCTCTAATAAATCAAGACTGATTTCCTACAGTGCATTAACCATTGTAAACTGAAGACTAGGAACCATGTGTTGCACACTCTTTTACACTGGTCCATCAGGAGGGGAAATATTTGCATTGCACAAGTAAGAACACAGATCGGATCAGCAGACTGAATGAAAAAGTTCATCCTTCAGCCAGCTTGCACCAGGAAAGGCCTGCGGCCAAATCTTCTCAGCGTAGAAAAGTGCCAGCCATGAGGTGAAATTTTTTAGACCATTCATTGTGCGACTGTGCACATCTTAGGCCCACCTGTTCCTACCGATTTGACGTTGGCCACGCCGACTACCTTTATGATCATTTGGACACAGGACAAGCTCTTTGTCCCTGTGGAGCTGGAGGTTAAACACTTTCAAACATTCACGGAGCCTTAACATACAGACACAAAGACATTACACCACAAACAGCCTCAAAGTGGCCCCACAAGCTACAGCCTATGCAAACTACAGCCAAACCACAAACAGAACTGAGCACAAACCTGCATTTCTATGCTAACACTGAGAAGTGCTCAACAACCCTACACACTGCCTTCAATCACATCCATTTTGACCCACTGCTTAACTTGCTAAGCCAAACAACCTGCGAAACCCTTGACTGCTGCATGACTGGCAATGAATCCCACACCCCAGGAAAAATAGAGTAAAAAGTATCTCCCCGTGCCTGTCGTACTCTCGAGCTTGGTGTCCTTTAAAAACAAGGGGGATGTGACATACCTCCAGTTTACTAAAAGAGGACGAGTACCCCCCTAGCAGCTACCCATGTATGACAACAGCAGGACCTAACACATGAATCCTGTGTGTGCGGCTGCCCCAGTGCTCCCACCTTCCACAAGGCGCTAATCACAAGGTCGACAACTTGGGGATGCAACCTGCAGAGAGGACAGACACCGTGTCCAAACTCCCTTACCTTTCCCTCCTGCTGGGCGGGCGGGGGTTTCCTTCCCTCCTTAGTGGCTAAAGCCTGCCCATCTGCCGTCTTGTCTGCTTCTCCTTCTGGGGGTTAAAAAACGGACAGACACCGGATTTAAGTCACAGGATGAGACTACAGGCTCCCTCTTATTCTCACCTGGACCTACGGTCACTCTGTCGTCTGTTCGCAGAAAGCGGTGAGGACAGACGTCTGCAGGTTCGGCTGCCGACATACAGGCCAGCCAGGAGCAGAGTGCGAAGGGCCAGGACTCTGGACAGAACTGCTAGGGCGGCACCATGACCGGTGACCACAAACATTGGAAACCCTGCTGACAGGGCGGTGCTCCCCACACACAGCTGGCGGCTGGGGAATGAAGCCCAGAGACAACCTGCAAAGTCCTGAATGCCAGCTGACAGGTGTCCCAGGGGGTCTTGATCATGGGTCAAAGCTGCCCCATGGACAGAAGGGCCAGACAGGACAGAAGGGCCACGACTTCAGCCTCCTGCCACCGAAGCCACAGCGCCGCCTCCTCCCCCAAGGTCAGAGGGGGTGGGGCTGCAGCCCTGTTGACAGGGTGCGGGGGGGGCATCTCATGGTGCCAGGAGCAGCAGAACAGAGGAGCAGAGACCTGGACCTGAGTTACAGGAAGGTCACTAAACCTTGGGGTCCCAACGCACTCAATGTCATCCAGAAGCCTGCACCCTTCCCTGTAGTCTGTGGGTATCGTCTCTGGCCAACCTCAGCAAGTGGAACGAGACCCGACCTAGAGAATCAAGGGGACCTGGGCCCTGCTTACAGGCTGCAGGCTGGGGGCAGGGGTGCAGAACGGCTGGCTAAGTGCTGGGCACTTGTCTCCAGGGACTCGGGTGGGGAATACATGGGCTGCCCCCAAGAAGGATGGCAGTAACCCTGCATGCGAGCTACCAAGTGGCCTAAAGAACATGCCAGCCACCCAAAAAGAAGGGGTCTCCCCGCCCCCCCCTGCCCGGCGCGGCCACAGGAGGGCGGCTCTGAGCAGCCGGTTTGTCTCCCCTCCGCGACGCCGCTCCTCGTGGCTGCAGTGCTGGGAGCGCACCACAGGAGGGCAGCACTGAGCCCAGTTTCCCACATCCTCGGTGCGGATGCCCAATGACACCAGTGATACCCGCAGTCACGACAGACACTCGTGTGCGGTGCTGTGCAAGGGTGAGAGTTGAACACCCACATCACTATCGCCATGGACAGAGACAGAGATCACTGTGTTAATGATGGTGTGCATTACACACACACACACACACACACACACTATCTGCAGATCACTATACGCACATAGCTGTACTGGATACATCTCTGTACAATGCCAGGCAGCATCGCGGAGGGACCAGGGCGCCGGAGCGCCCCGGCTCTTGCTCGGGCGCGCGGTCAGGAACGCGGGGCGGGCGGGCGAGGCCGCCTCAGGCGTCCGCGGAGAAGACGCGCTGGTGCGCGGGGCCCACCCAGCTGTCCCTGCGAGCACCGCCTCCCGCCGCCCCGGCCCGGGCCGCTTCGCGGGGACGCGCCG